GGCGCCCCCCGCCGGGGTTTCACAAGTCTCCGCGTGGCCGGCCCGGCGCCGGTGGGCCCGGCGGCACCCACAGGCGCTCCCACGGGCCTGTGCCCAGCCCGGCGCGGGGCAGCGGTACCGGACTGACTCTGTGCAAGCCCCGATCAAGCCCCTTTCTGGAAATGAAAGTGCCTTTTCCAGGTTGTCGCGGAGTTTTGCCTCCCGATCCGCGTCTCGGGTGCGAGGGCCGTGAGAAGTGGCGCCGGTTCCGAGAACGAGACCGCGCTAGGGCGTTCGGAACGGGGACAGGCAGTGCTGGCATCCGTCGCCAACACCGCTGTTTCTCTTTCAGAGGATACGACGGGAAAGCTGATCTTCATGTGGGAATAACCAACAGTAACGGTAAAAAGTACTTTGTGGTTGCCTTGCAAACTACTGGCCGTCTCCCGTGCCTTGTATTTAGACTCTACGCCCAGCTTAGCGCTGCCCCCTCTGCCCAGGATAACCTGAACTGCGTGATAGCTGTTTCAGAGCCACCCCTGCCGCTGCGGCAATACCTGTTACAAATGCAGGCTGCAACATCCAAATGCCTGTTGCTTTGCTGTTGAAGAATGCTTACTTCCTCAGCGTGCTGCAGGTATCCGAACCCAGAGCTTAGCTGTTCACTACAAAAGAGTGTCATGTAAAGATCAAAAAATTCTTGAGTCCAAGAATTTATCTCGCCTTGCAGCAGTGAGCACACAGAGTTTCAAATGAAAGCCGTACACCTCTCCTCTCATGCTGAGGAGCCGCACAGGATGGAATTGACAGATGACTGCTATTCCTGAGGCAGGGAAATAAAAAGCCAGGCAGCCTACTTCTAAAAAGAAGTTTCAGGAAATTTTTACTTAAACACAGTTTTTGCTAATTCTAAAAATATCCCTAAAAACAAACAAACAAAAATCCCCACATTAAAAAAGCTACATTAAAAATCATATCAGTTTCTCCTAGAGTAGGCCCACCCTGCAAAATCTCACTTGAGATGTTTATTTAATATTAAAGCAGTCTAATTCGTGGGTTTAAAAAAGAAGCCTCGTTGTCCTTAAGTTGCTTTCATTATCAAAAGACATCTGAAATTACATTGTAAAAATCAGAACAGGTTTTTGATAGAAGCAAGCACTGCATTTTCTACTGTGCAGCCACAGAGGGAAGCTAGGGTATAGCTTGTCTAAGAAAGAATGGCAGTATGGAAAACTAATAGTAGCTTTCATCACTTAAAAAAAAAAAAAAAAAAAAAAAGGATATGGATCTGATTCTCCAGTGCCACCTGACAATCTGTTGCTCTTTATTTTCAGGCGTGGTGTATAATTATGATGAAGAGGGCATTCACAGAGCTGAAACTGGGTGGGAACAGTGCATTAGTATCCCACTCGTACAGCCAGACATGTTTGGGCTTCTTCAGCAGTGGGATGAGCTCCTAGAGGAATTTTCTGTGGGAGAGGCCTGGCTTCCTCACAGGTATGTAGTTTAAAAGCTGGGTGCAATGGGAGTTTTTAGTCTGGGATGATAAATGGGGCTATTCCGTTTTGGATCCTCTGAGGCTTGTGGTTCATTCAGAGCCTTGCTCCTTTAGAACACACATTTCTAACAAACCAGTCTGAACAACGCTGTCAGGCTGTCTTGAAACTTAGTGGCCTTGCTAAACAGAAAGAGTATTTTTAAGCCGTAAGTAACAAACTCATCTGCTGGAATGTAACAGCTCTAAAATAAGAAATAATTTTAGGGCATTTTTCTTCACCAACAAAAGAATTTTGCATGGAAGAACAGTTCAGTGGAACATTACCTTTGAGAGTATGCTGCTGAGTACAGAAGTAGAAAAGTCCAAGCACAATTCTGTAATTATTTCTTCTAGGTTTCAACAGATTTAGGTGTATTCGCATTTACAGGCTGACCACACTGATGGGATTCTTGCCCCAATTGTACATCCAGATGACTTCTTTGTTGTCACGATCAGAAATGGGAAACACAGTCAGGCTCATTCCCAGCTCTTCCAGCTTCGTAGGATTGCTTTGGATAGTTCAATACAGAAAGGTTTCCACATATTTTGAATTAAACCAGTATGTTCCAACGAGAACATTCAGTTCTTTGTAGCTTTCCTTGAAGTTCATGCCTGATGACAGCGTTACAAGTTACACAACCCAGCTAAAACTTGCACTGCCACATCACCAAGCCGGCTGATGACATAGCAGCCTGCTTTCCAAGAAAACACCAGTCCTTGAACAGTTCATCAGTAACAGTACATTTAACAAACAGCCTGAGTGTAGTTCTGTGAAGTGTTTAAGTTAATGAACATAGACGTCATCTTATATAAAAAAAAAACCAAAACCCACAACAAATCAAAAGCAGCATTTAGCAATTCTGTATGTGCTTGACTATAAATCTCAGAGATAATGTACTATCTCCCTAGTACCAGGAGATGAAAGAATTTGACCTAGAATAGAATTTTTAAATGTTTATGGAACTTGTAAAGCCATCGGGATTTGTGTCTCTGATATTTTTAGAGTTCCCAGTGCCTTAACATTATTACTAAAATTAACTTGTTGTCAAAAAAGCATTGGTACAAGGTGGATGGATGTATGCATCTCTTCTACAAGCTTTCCTTTGGTTTTCCTCCGCCTGCCACCTCCTGACAAAGTGACCTACTTTTTCCAGAAACAAACCAGTGACCACTAAACTGCTGAAAATTTAACATCTTAAAAAAAGTTCAGTTAACTCCTCTGTTTAGTTTTTCAATGGACACAAACTGCACTACACTAATCCTGTAACTCCTTTGGGTTCAGGCCAAGCCAGATTCTAATTTTCTTGATTGCCTTTCATTTACTGGAAGGATGGTATATCACAGCAGCAAAGAACAGCAGCCTCAGCCATGACCAACAATATCTTAAATTACTGAGAGACACTGGGTTTGCTTGTCAGGATGTAAAGACGTGCTTCCCAAAAATGAAAAGCTAACTGGAAGACACAGATGGTAATAAGCAGTGTATTACAGAATCTTTTGCGTTATAAATACAAAAATGAAAAGTAACATGCTCTGCTTAGTCGTGGAACTGACTCAGTAAAGCACTTGTGTACATGGAAGTTATCCAGACAAGCTGCAGCGCTCTGCAGGCTCAGCCCTGAGCTGGTGAATCCAACATTTTTTTCAGTGTAATTTCTAGATGTTTTGTACTACACAGTTATGATGGCCACTCTTGAAATTACTCATAATTATTTTTCCTTAACAATTATTTTGGTAAAACAAGTACACTGTAGCAAATCGCTTCGTGTGGCAGCTTGTACGTCGCTTCAGAGACCCTTGAAAACCAGAAGAGCTTTGAAGAAAACAGCGAGCTCTCCTGAACTGGGCTCAGGGTCACAGGGTTGCTTTTAATACCAATAATCCTCAGATCTTGCAAAAACACCTTGCAGATTCCCAGGGCTGACAAGAAAGTCTCACAGAAGATTCCCTGTGGCAACACAGACCACAGAGCCACTGACAGTACAAGGCAAGGAATGAGTCACAGGGCTAGGAAGAACAAGGGAAAAATGACACAGGATGAGGCAATTATGGAAGCAGCTTGAGCATTAGGCAGATGGCAAACAGGAGCCTGAGCAGGTCTCTATCAAATGCAGTTACACAGGGCCAGTGGAAAAAGCAGCACTATGCGGTGAGGGAATGGAATAAATTACTGAAGTTGTTAGCGGCCAAAATGAAACATTTGGGAGAATCTGAGAAACATTCTGACAGTGAAAAGACCAGGTAAGTGCCATATGCTCCTAGGGTAGCGGGGGGAAGAAAAAAGGGCAGAACATTTGAAATGGCTACTCCTCCTGTTCAGTTAGTATTTCTGTCCTTGGACAATTGGCACAAATTATTGCCAATGGGAGTTTGACTGGCACACCGTATAGCAACTGTATCAACATGTTAGTGATAGAGTTTACTTGATTTTAAGTAAGCTTCCAAGGTAATGCCATACTGAAAGAAGTGCACATGGTGGCACACAATTAACATTACTGCTGCAGGAAGAAGTTTTCAAGGTAACAGAGTAACAATGCATAGAAGAGCAAAGGTTAACAAGGTAAAAGCCAATTAAGTATAAAAAATAACTCATTATTGTAAAGTCTGCAGCCCTCTTTTTTTTTTTTTTTTATGCTCACAGTTTCTAGTATCCCTGGCTGGAAAGTACAACTTGCGATAAATAGAATATATTTAAGCACCAGCATTAAAGGAAAGTGGCAATAGTTCTTGGAGAGCATGTGCTTCCTTATTTCACTCAGGGAAATGTTCCTCCATGTGCACTAATTAATGGATTAGTGCTAACTCTTACTAACGAGATATTTTTCCTAGGTATGAAGAAAATGACCACAACTGCTACACATATGCACTGGCATTCATTAACAGTATACTGACCACACAAGGAAAACGGCAAATGAGTAAAAGTGAATTTACAGAGAAATTTGTGATCCCACAAACAAAGAAAGCTTCCAAATACATTACTCTGCATCAGGAGCTAACAGCTAACGATTTCTACATTGTACCCCTTCTTCCTGATCAAGAGAAACAGTGTTGAAAATGACAAGTTGCTATATTAAAACATCTACAACATGCAATAGGAAGTCTTCAGACTCCAAATCTCAGGGTTTAAGATGCATAATCTACTGAATATATTTAAAAACACAATTAATTTTACACGTTAACCTGCACATCATGGAAGGATCGGGAAACTGAACTTGTGCATTTGAATGAAATAACATACATACAGTGTACACACTCCAGAAAATTTCTATAGGAATTATGCATATGGAAAAATGTTTTCCTATTTACATTCACTATATGCTCTGTTCTGCCAAGACACTTAATACCAGAAAGCATAACTACTGTGTAATTAAGAGTTTTAACAAGTGGTAACTTAAGCTGTAGCAAACCAAAATGGTTTTTTCCTGTCACATTTGTTTACTGATGAGTGAAAAAAAAGGGAATTTGTGCTTGCATGCTGCTGAAATCCAAAGTCCATGACTTAATGCAGATTCACTACATGCAAAGTTGTCTTCCTTTACTTTAACTACTAATAAAGGTCACAAACAAATAAATCCAGCCTCTTTGCCACATATATTTCTTTTCCAATTGTTCTTTACGTTTTGCACATTTATTCCTCAAACCAAGACAGATGCTTAGTATTAAAAGATAATAATTTAGAATCATAGAATCATTAAGGTTGGAAAGGACCTCTGAGATCATCGAGTCCAACCTGTTAACCTAACTGCCTGGTCCACCTCTAAACCATGTCCCTAAGCAC